GACAGCCAAGCACGTTGATGACATCAATATGACTGGGAAGGAAGAGGCTATTGACAAGTATGTCAAGTGTGTTGAAGATACGTTTGGGAAGTGCAAACTGAACAAGCACACATACACAAATTGTGCCGTTCGGTATAACAAGACCGATGATGGGAGCGTCACTCTTGATCAGGACGAATACATCAAACAGCTTCGTCCTATCACACATCCAGAACTCACAGGAGCTGATCCTGAGAGCAAAGCGACAAAGACGATTTCTGATATGTTCGTCAGTCTTCGTGGCGCTCTAGCCTATGCGTTGATCACGCAGGTATGGCTGATGGTCTATGTTGTCTCACTACAACGTATCCAGGAACCGACAAACATCCAGGTACGACGACTAAACGCGGTTACCAGAAAACTACAGGCAGGTCCGAAGAAGATCGTGTATCAAGCTATGACCCCAACAGGAGAAGTCGACCTGCATAGCGATTCTGGCTATCGTCGTCTCAACGGAGATGAAGACGACGAAGTCAAAGGCTATGGTATCCGCGGGGCTAACCTGCTGAGGCGTGGCCACACGCAAGCGGGGAAACCCGTCGTGCACCTGGTGGACGCATACTGCAAGTCTCATCGACTGCAGGTGCGTTCGAGCTACTCTGCGGAAACACTGGCAGCAGCCCACAACTTGGAAGACTGCTACCCGACCATTGTAACGCTCCACGAGCTACACTCGGGACCATTGACCCCCACACAGTTAAAGAACATATTGGAAATGGGTGGTCTATGTATCAAAGTCACTCTGACTATTGATGCCGAGTCTGTCTTCAAGTCTTTGTCTAGCAAAGATCTGAAGAAGCCCACAGAATGTACTCTGCTTGGGCACATTAGCTGGATCCGCCAGATGATGGAGCGCGGAATCGTTGAAAGCGTTCAATGGTGTGACACGCGGGATATGACTGCCGATGGTCATACCAAAGGTAGTATTGACCGCGCGTTGCTCCTACAAGTAATGGCCGGCCAGCAATCCTTCAAGCACGAGCTGAAGAAACATACACCGTATAGGGCGGGCAGGTCGTCTCAGGACGGCCCTGCCTCCCGAGCTAGCGGGGAAACCCGCGGGCAGGTGCGCTTTAATAGCGAGGAAACTCGCCGGTAGCGAGGCTACTCGCGCGCCCTTTCCTTGTAGGCAGCCGCTGCTGCTTAGCACTGTTTTTCCGCATAATGTAGAAGTGCGGTGCCTGCTCGTCTCCTCCCCCTCCGACTTTAAACGGAGAAGGTTAAAGGCGAGGTATAAATCGAGCATGTACCGCTGCCGCGCCTGGCTCAAGCCGGGCCCGGCCAAATATGTGATTGTGCCTCACCGAGGCGCGCGACTTGCATCGGAGATCGGAAAATACCTTTTCCATTGACGATGCCCATCCTATCCTTTACTCCAGATCCCATGCTTCGTCTTGCTCTCTTGCTCATGCGATATGAGCCAAATCCTGGGATATGGCAACGCTTAAAGCGTAACACATACCTAAGCTTACCAGCTTGTTTTCGACTGAATAAAGAAATAGTTAAAGAGAGACAAGGGTTGAAAAAAAATGCCGACAGGACGGGGGACAGAGGGAGGGAGGGGTGTGGGGGAGTATTTGTGTACCCAGACCCCCGAAATCGTCATGTTTTCAACACCCGCCGTCTTCCCTCGATCCTCGCCTGTGAAGTCCAGCTTCGCACCCAGACACGTTTAACCAGCAACTCTAAATGAAAGCCGGCCTTAGGGAAGGGCCAAGGGCCCGGGGGGGCGGCCCGCACTGGAAACATTCATGCCAGAGGCCTTGGGTTGTATTTGTGCGCGTGCACGTGTAGTTGTAGTTGCGAGCACCTTCCTGTACAGATGCACCCGTGCACGCCTGCGCTTAGTGGACCCTGAAAACGACAGAGCCGTTTATAAGAATGGTTCCTTTACACCGCTTTCTTTCCCGATTATAGCGCCTTGCTTTTGACAGTTCCTGCGCCGATGTCCTAGTCCAGAATCACACAGTTTTTCCCAACCCTCCTGCGAGTTGGGTACTGGTTTTGAATCCGCAGCGCCGCGCGTCTCCTCATTCCTTCCTCCTCTACCCCCCTTCTTCTCCTCCTCCTCCTACTCCTCCTCCTCTTCCTCCTCCGCCTCTTACTCCTCCTCATCCTCATCCCTCCTCCTCTTACCCCTTACTCCTCTTACTCCTCCTCCTCCTCCTCCTCCTCCTCCTCCTCCTCCTCTTACTCCTTCCTTCCTCCTCCATCCCCCTTCTTCGTCGTCCCTGAGCATGGTTCCTGGGGAAGAAGATTCTGGGCAGGCTGCATCCTTGTCGCCATGGCTGGATTCGGGGATTCGTCGCTACTGGCTGCATTGTCGGCTTTCGCTCCCGAGGGGGTCGTTGTGTTGTGCCTTCCCTGGCGGCCCGAGGGCCTGGCAAGGGGGGCGCCGTGTCGCTGGCTCCCGTGTGGGCCCGTGGGGATCCCCTGGGGCCCAAACACACCTCGTGGTGCTCGGAGTTGGCGTCTGCGAAACGACGAGGGTGCCCCAGGAGGGCGCTTGGCGTACGGTGCTTCGTCTGCGGGCCAAGGGCTCTTGGCTGGCGTCGCCAGCTTCCTCTGTCCGAGGACACCCATTCCTCAGGGTCCCTGCCCGAGGGCAAACCCACGCAGGGCTCTGTCCGAGGACACCCCTTCCCAGGGTCAATGCCCGAGGGCAAACCCACGCAGAGCTCTGTCCGAGGACACCCCTTCCCAGGGTCCCTGCCCGAGGGCAAACCCACGCAGGGCTCTGTCCGAGGACACCCCTTCCCAGGGTCCCTGCCCGAGGGCAAACCCACGCAGGGCTCTGTCCGAGGACACCCCTTCCCAGGGTCCCTGCCCGAGGGCAAACCCACGCAGGGCTCTGTCCGAGGACACCCCTTCCCAGGGTCCCTGCCCGAGGGCAAACCCAAGCAGGGCTCTGTCCGAGGACACCCCTTCCCAGGGTCCCTGCCCGAGGGCAAACCCACGCAGGGCTCTGTCCGAGGGCAGCCCCACAAACAGGGGCGGAGTACTCTGGAGTACTCCTGGTTGCTGGGCCGCTGGTCGGCCAGCATTCGCCCCCCTGCCCCATAGGGCAGCTTGGGCTTGGCGGCGCGCCGCCTTGACCGCACAGAGGCCCTCGAGGTCCTCGTTGCGTGCGGGTCCCCGTAATTCACACCATCATTGATTCTCTCTCTTCGCTCCCCCCGCTCTAATTGGAAAATCGAAAAGTGATGGGTGTGAGGGGCGTGTTGGCTCGCGGGGCCTGCGCGGACCATGTCCTATGCGTGACGGGGGCGGCTTCGTGCGAGGCCCTGGACGGTTGGGTGGCCCGCTGGACGGGCACGCTCATCTGCGACGATAACTGCGTTTCCCTGTCGGTGGTCGTCTGTCTTCCGTCGGTCCGCCCTTGTCACGCTGGCGGGCGACAGAGCTCTAGCTCTAATGGAGTGGCGGTGCGCGCAGCTGGTGCCAAGGGCGCCGCTTCCTGTGCGCACTCGTTTCTCAGTCTGTACGCCCGTGCCCCTATGACGCCGTCTGCAGGTCTGGGTGGTGCATCCAGGTCGCAGACGGGGATAGGGGGCGGAAGGGTCTTGTGTACTTTCCCGAAACAGCACCTCGCCTTCAGCGCCGCGTCACGTTCGCTCGTTTGCGTGGGTGCGCCTTCTGCTACGGCGGGCTCGTGCAATCATGCTCGATCCGGCAAGCTCTCTGGAATGCCTGTTCCGTGCGTCCGCTGGCCCGCCAGCGCCCTGGGGTGTTGCATGTTCGTCTTCTTTCCACTAATGGAGAGGCGGTGCGCGCAGCTGGTGCCAAGGGCGCCGCTTCCTGTGCGCAGAGAGCCCCGGATTAATCCAGGGGGGCGTGGATCAATCCACCGGGTTCCGTTTCCACGTGTCTTGTTCTGCGACGGTAGCCGCGCTTCCTAAGAGGGCATTAACAAAATGAATGACCTTTGCAAAGAGGCTGCTGGGAGCACCCTATCATCCTTTCACGAGCGGTTCGGTGCCGCCGCTGCGCAGTGTTGTGCAGGTAAGGCCAGATTGGCCCACATCGCCCTTGCATCCGCTGGGCCCGTGCTACGGGGCAACCGTGCACAGGGGGTTACCCACGCCGCGCCGGGGGTACCCGCGCCGCCACGCGCGCGCCGTGCACAGGCGGCAGGCAAGGCAACCGAAACAGGGGGGATCCAGAAATTGGATCCCCCCCCCATTCGCGCGGCTGTGGCGGGTGCAATCCGCCCCAGACGTCCTCCGTGTGTCGGAGGTCCAACCGAAGGCGCCCAGCAACCAGGGGCGGAGTACTCCGGAGTACTCCGCCGAGCCTGTTCAAGCCAACCAACCAGGGTTCCGAACCCTGGTTGGTTGGCTTGAACAGGCTCGGCGTTACGAACCCAGGGTTCGTAACAGGGCATTCAAAACATGAGTGCCCCATGTGCATTCTCGCGCGCGCGCGTGCTGTGCAGAGCGCGTGTGCGACGTGAAAGAAGGGGCATCCCAAAAGTGGGATGCCCATTGTTGAAGCAAGGCAATGGGCACGGGCTGGGCCGCCCTTCGGGGAGGAGCGGTTTTTTGGCTCCCCTCCCGTGCCATCGCCAATCGTGGTCCCGTTGCCTTTTGGGCTCGAGGACTTTGCCACGCGGCCTGTTCTTCTGCGACTGCAGCCCAGGCGTTCACAGTACTCTCGCGGCCATACCCGCTCTCACGACGGATGGCGCTCACCAGCTCCGAGGTACGCGCCGCGCTCGCCGGGCTCCCCGAGTCTGCGTTCGGGGTCGACTCGCTCGAGAAGCGTGCGGCCTGGGTCGACTACGTGATGTCGGTGGACGAGGAGCCGAAGAACAACCACGATTTGTTCTTCTACGCCAGCACGGCCCGCGTGCTCGCCGACGCGGCGGGGTCGGTGGAGCCGGCAGACATCTGCGACGCCCATATATGCGCCAATTCATCATCTCGGGGATGGCGGTTAACACGAAAACCTTCCCCGACGAGGGCGAGAGCGATCAGTGGAAGGACTTCGTGGTCAAGCCGGCTCACGTCAACTTGGCGTTGAGGGCCCAACCAAAGGCCCAGCAGTCATCGGCCGCGAGCGCGCCGGGCCCGAGTAGCCAGGCAGACCAGACGGCGCAGGCCGTCGCCAAGTGGGCGGAGGTCCAGAACGCAAAGGCCGAGAAGGAGGCCAAGCGCGGCACCTTGAGCTTCAACCTGGAGGCCAGGGTGACGGAGGTTGGGTTGCAGTGCATCCAGAAGCTGTCGCCAGAGTTGCTCCCCACCGAGGAGTCTCTGTTGCGAATGGAAAACCTTGCCTCCGCCAAGGTCGCAAGAGACAAGAGCCGCAAGTGGGTCGGGTCCTCCGAGGGCGAGGATCTGATCGTCAACTTCCGGCCCGGCTTCTCCAACACACCCAAGCTGGACTTACTCCTCGGGTCTGGCTCACTGGACGACAGAGCGGGGGAGGCCCGGGAGGCAAAGCGCGCCCGCACTGCGGAGGAGCGCACTGGCTTCCTGGGCTTCGCCAACTTCATGGGCCACCTACACGACTGGGGCCTCAAGATGGTGCTGTCCAAGGTGATCACCCCGGTGCAGTTCTGGGCCTACGAGCTCCAGTTGGTCAAGATGTCAGAGGAGCAGGGTGGCGGCCGCGTCGTGTTCTACTACGACACGCTCTTGCGGCGCGCCAGAAGCTCGCCCGCGCGCTGGAGCTTGGCCAGAACGACCAGATCGAGGCGCTCCTCTGCAAGCTCGACAGGGATGCGTTGCAGGACGCCAAGCACCAGGTGTCGAAGCGCGCCGAGGAGGCCAGCCGAGTGACCGCGAAGCAGCCCGCCGGCGCTGGCGGCAACGCCGGGGCGCCCAAAGGTGACCAGAAGGGCGGCAAAGGCGGCGGCGCCAAGACCGCCCGGGCCCCGGTGTCGCCCGCGCTGCCGCGCTCCAGGAGCCCGGCGGCGAGCAGGAAGCCGAAGGGCAAGGGCGCCGGGGGCAAGGGGCCCGAGCAGAAGTGGGAGCAGAATTGGAGCAAGAAGCAGGCCTGGAAGCAGCCCGAGCAGAAGTGGTCGAACTGGTGAGACGGCCCAGAGAGCGACCCGCGCGACGCGTCCTCCGACGCGGAGGGGTTCTCAGAGAGCCCTACTGGTGCCCCCGGCGCCGCCTGCGGTTTCGCTGCGCTCCGCGATGCAGTGGGCACGTGTTTACAGGACCCTTGCGGTTCCGGGCGCGAGGGCCCCCTGTGCCATTCAGACTGGGCGCTGCGCCTCCCGAGGGGCACCGGGGTGTTGGAGACCCCCGAGGCGTGCAGGTCAGCGATTAATTGGCATTGCGCCGACCCTAGTGCAGTTTTGTCGTTCAGGACCCGCCAGTTGGCATTCTGGCGGCACCGCCAGCGCGTGACGGCTCCAGCGCGGCTGGCTCAATACGCGGGCCTGTTCGCCCACGTGCGGTCCATCCTGGGGCCGGAGAAGAATCTGGCGCTGCTTGCCGAAATGCTCAAGGCGGCCGGCTCGCCGGACCTCGCGCTACCGACAGATCTGGCGCACGGTTTCCCCCTCGTCGGGGAGATGCCACGCAGCGGCGCTATGCGCCCGTGCGCTGGGCTGCCCGGTGAGCCCCCCGAGCAGTTTCTCCTGGGTGCGCCGGAGCAGAACGAACGTATTCTTGAGAGAGTCATAGCAACAAGGCCATCGGATGCTAACGTGGCCGAGGCTTTGCGCGAGCGCACGCGCGCTGAAGTGGGGGCCGGCCAGGCCGACTGGCGCCCGCTGCCGTCTGACCTCGCCGGCGTCGTGCTCTCGCCGCGCTTCGCTGCCGATGAGGGTTGGCGAGTCGTGGGCGGCCAGCGGCCCCTGAAAGCACATGCCATCGATGACCTCACAGCCTCCAGGGTCAATTCCACGGCCGCGGCGCTGGAGAGCATTGAGCACGAGACGCTCGATGTCCCGGCAGCAACCGCCCAGGCGTTAGTCGCTGGCGGGGCCGGCGGGGAGCACATCCGGTTCCGGAAGGACGACGTGTGCAGTGCGTATAAATTGTTGCCATTGCGCGAAGACCACATGCCGTTTGCAGCCGCCGTAACGGCTGACTCGGTTGAGCGGGGGTCTTTCCTGCAGCTGCTCTGCTGCCCGTTTGGGGCGAAAGCGAGTGTCCACGCGTGGCAGCGTGTGGGCATTGCCTTCCAGTGCATTCTTCTGAATCTGTTCAGCATAGTGCATCCGCGTTTCGTGGGCGATTTTTTGGAGCAGAGGCAGACAGTGCTATGGCCGGCAACAATACTGCAGCCACCAGCGCGTCCGTCGCCCGCTCTGTAATCCAGGAATTGCTCGGGTGGCGGCTTGACATTCAAAAGGAGGTCACCGCCGCTCGCGGCTTCACTGCACTCGGCGTGGGCGTGTCCCTCGACGCAGGGGCGCGGGCTCTGCATTTTTTCGTGCCGGCCGAAAAATGCACCAAGTGGTTGGCAAAGATTTCAGACATTCTGGCCAACCGGAGGCCTCCCCAACAGGCGCGCAGAAACTAGCCGGGCGGCTCAGCTGGGGAGCCACGGAAGTTTTTGGCAAGGGGGTTCGCGTGTACCTCGCCCCACTGTTCCGGCACGCTTATGGCAACAGCAGCCGGATGCCGATGCGTTTGGTCAGGGCGCTCGAATGGTGGCAACGGTTTCTGGCAACGAATCCTCGTAGGAGTTTGCCTCTGGAGCCATCAAGCAAACCGCGCCTGGTGGTTTACACAGACGCTACAGGGGCAGGCACGCTGGCTTGGGCCGCGGTGCTTGCAGGCCAGAAAGTTTTTGCTTCCGCGCGAGTCCCCGGCTGGCTCAACCGGTGGGCGCGCTTCCGCCGGCAGCGAATCGCCACGTGGGAGGTGGTGGCCGCTGTCTGCGCTCTGTCGTATTTTTTTGAATCGACCGCGAGCGCGGGTGGCCTCGACATCGCGTTGTTCATAGACTCGACAGTGGCGTTGGGCACCCTGCTTCGCGGCTGCTCACGGCAGCGCGACTGGAACGACATAGTGTCCGGCATATGGTTCGCCGCGGCAGACCGCGCCCATGTTCTACGCGTTTTTCGCGCGCCGTCGCATCTCAATGTTCCAGATTGGCCAACCCGGGAGGAGCTAAAGGCCAGCGAGATGCAGCGTTTGGCTGCCAGTGGCTTTTCCCGACTCGAGTGGGCTTGGCCGTCGGTGGACTTCTGGCAGGCGTGAACCAGTGAGGGAAAACGTATTGTGCGCTCAAGGAAAACAAGAAATGCATGTCGGTCGTCCGTTGCCGTCAGCGAGGCTCACCGGGCCCGCTTCCCTTGTCATCCGTAGCCGCTTTGGCCCAAGATGGGCCGGAAAGGCTTGCGGGGCAAGCGGCCTCGGGGCGATGGCGGCCCAGAGCTGGCCCCACGCGCGTCACCGGCAAACTTGGTCGTGCCGCCGCTGGCAGACCCGGCGGTGCCTACGCTGGCCCCAGTGGCTTTGAGCGAGTTGTTCGCCGCCGCGCTCAGGCGCGCTCCTCCCGCGTGCCATCCGCCGTCGCCACAGTGCGTTCTGAGGGGCCTGGCTGCGGGGGGCGCTGTTGACGGATCGGATTTTGCCGGTTTGGGCGTCCAAGAGCTAAAGGACGCGCGGCCGTGTCTCCACGGGCTTCGAGACGAGTTCGTGGCAACTTTGCCCACCGTTTCGGCCCGCGCCGCCGTGGGGCCGCCTGCCGCGCAGACCGAGGCCCGCGCCCAACGGGGCGCGCTTGCGCCGGCGGCCAGCAAGTTTCCCCCAGCAGGAGGGCCCGCGCACGCAGAGGACGAGGCGCCGGCCACAGGGCATGCCGCAGAGACTGGCGAGGCTGCGGTGGCGGCGCTCGGTTGCCTCGCTGCAGCGCGCCTCCGGCGCGAGCCCGTGAGCCCCGGGGAGATGGCGGACGCGGTGCAGACGCTGGGCCGCGTCGCGCCGGAGGAGTTTCAGCTTGCGTGGGAGAGGCGCCGCGGTGGCATCCCCGGCAATCCGCGGGAGCGCGCGGCCCAGATCGGGCCCGACATGGCCGGGTTCATGGCAACGCAGGAGCTCCTCAGACGCGAGTTGCTCGCGTGGCACCGGAGCGCATACAAGTCTCCAGTGCGCCTGCGGGGGCAAGTGGCCCGGAACCTGGGGGTTGATGCTTGGCCCCCGTCGGAGCCAGTGCTCGGGGCATTCGCATCTGCAGTGCAAAACGGTGCCAGTTTGATGACCTACTGCACGCAGATCCGCGCTGTGCTCCGGCTGCTCCACATGCCGCTGGGGTGCCTGGAGGACACGTCGTGTTTGGCGCGTGGTGCGAGCAAAGCGGCTGTGGCCACTCGGCGGTTCCGGGCGCGGGCGTCGGCGCGACAGACACGTTCCTTGGCGCAGCACGTCCGGGAGGTTCTGGGCGATCCCGAGACAGCGGATGCGTTCGTAGTGGCGAGGCAGTTTTGCTTCCGATTCGCGTCCGAACTGGTGCCTCTGCAGGCAGACGGGCCCCACTCCAAGGTAGTCCTGTCAACCGTGGGCGGCTTGCCGACGGCCAGCGTGCACCTGCATCGGCGCAAGACGTACACGGAGACGACGGTCGTGTCCAGGCGGTGCATCTGTGCCCTGCAGTCCCGGCAGCTTTGCGGGGTGTGCGCGCTGCGCGGTCGCGCGCAGACAGGGCGGGTTTTTCCGGCGCTGTCATACGGGCGCGCCCTGGCCCAGCTGAAGGTGGCGGCGCTGGCGTTGGGCCTCGAGCGCGCGGGAGAGCGGGGCACGCACGCCTTCCGCCGCGGGTGGGCGGACGAGTGCCTGGCGGCCGGGGGCGTCCCCGCGCTGTTCCACAGCGGGGGATGGCGGGGAGTGGCCGCCTTCGGTTACGCTTCCGCGGCGTCGCGGGACGCGGCGACCGCGGCGGAGTGGCTCGTTGAGTTCTCAGAGTCGTCTGCGTCCGAGGGGGCGCCGGCGCCGTGAGCCAGAAAAATGTCGCTTCCATGCGCGGAATGCTTGCGCCGTGCCTTCCGCCGCCCCTCCCCCCCCCCAGCCCTCCCCGACGTGGCGTTTGCAGTGGCGGCGGTATTCCAGGGCTGCGGTCACGTCGTCAGCAGTGGGGGGTGCGGCCTGGGTCGCCGTGGGCCCCAGCAGTGGGACTCGAGGTCTCGGTTGGGTCTCTCGAGCGCCCCTGGCCGGCCGCGCCGAGTGCGTTGCCCAACTGTCCGTGCGGGCGCACTGGACCACCCCAGGGGGGAGGCAGCCCACCATAATCTTCGTCGTCCCTGAGCATGGCTCCTGGAGAAGAAGATTATGGGCAGGCTGCATCCTTGTCGCCATGGTTGGATTCGGGGATTCGTCGCTACTGGCTGCATTGTTTTCCGCCCGAGTCCGAGGCGGGGTATCAAGTGTCGGCTTTCGCTCCCGAGGGGGTAGTTGTGTTGTGTCTTCCCTGGCGGCCCGAGGGCCTGGCAAGGGGGGCGCCGTGTCGCTGGCTCCCGTGTGGGCCCGTGGGGATCCCCTGGGGGCCCAAACACACCTCGTGGTGCTCGGAGTTGGCGTCTGCGAAACGACGGGGGTGCCCCAGGAGGGCGCTTGGCGTACGGTGCTTCGTCTGCGGGCCAAGGGCTCTTGGCTGGCGTCGCCAGTTTCCCCGCCCTCCCTCCCTGGTGGATCTGGTGCGTCGGCTGGCGGGGTCTCGAGGTCTCGGTTGGGTCTCTCGAGCGCCCCTGGCCGGCCGCGCCGAGTGCGTTGCCCAATTGTCCGTGCGGGCGCACTGGACCACCCCAGGGGAGAGGCAGCCCACCATAATCTTCTCCTCATCCTCCTCATCCTCCTCGTCATTCTCGTCTTCCTCCATCTCTTTTCATAACTCATAACTCCTCCGTGTTGCGCCCCCACACGTGTCGGCAGGGCGGGGCGGGCGTCTCGCTTGATATTTCCCCACCATGAATGATCTAGAAGCTTGAAGATTTGCAGCAGCTTCACGGATTGAGGGCGAGCCGTTTTCAAAACGTGGTTCTCGCCGTAGCGCCGCGCACATGTATCGTAAAAGTCTGCGTCAGCTTCAGGGATGAAACGCGGTCTGTTTTCAACAGGTGGTTCTCACTTGAGCACCGCGCACATTCGTCCACAAGGCTGCAGCAGCCTCAAGGATGTAGGGCGGCCGGTTGTCAAAACGTGGCTCAGCGCCGCGCACATTCGCCGTACAAGTTTGCGACAGCGTCAAGAATGGAGGGCGGCTTATTTTCAAAATGTTGCTCTCGCTTGAGCGCCGTGCACATCCGTTTGAAAAGCTTGTGTTGAAGTCCCAGGAGCAGCGTTATGGCACGATTCCAGCTTGTCAAAACAAAAAACAATAATTTTGATTCGTGGCGTTGAAGCCTCAGGAGTTCCGTTTTCGCACGAGTGCGGTTTCTCAAGCGATTGTCTTCAATGGAGCCCTTCCCGCAAGGAAGACATGAGGCGTTCCAAAAATGGCCTTGCCTTCGAGGATCGAAGGCGTTGTCATCGCTTTCGTCGCGGAAGGCGGGAGGGCGGCGAGAGGTCGGCGGCTGAAGAGGTGGCGGCAGTAAGAGATGCGCCCCACAGAGATGAACACGTTTATGGGCCCAGGGTTTCCGAAATCCGCCATATATTCGTGCAGGGACCTATGACGAGGGAGCTTGGAGGGAGGGCTGATTGAAACATCGTGGATGCGTCGTGGGTTCACAGTGGTGTTCCCTCTCCTCATTCTCCTCTTACTCCCCCTCCTCCTCCATTTCGGCACGGCCCTAACATGTGGCCCATAAAGGGACTCCACCGAAGGCTCCAGTGGTTGCGTCCGCATGGTGACTCGGGCCCCTGCCGGCACACCCCTCACATGTTCCACGCCCCCACAGGGAGCTCTACCGAAGGCCCCAGTGGCAGGGTTCGTGTGGTGGCTGGGGCCCCTACTGGCACACCCCTCACACGTTCCGTGGCCAGATCAAGAGCTCCACCGAAGGCTTCAATGGCAGGCTTCGCATTGTGACTCGGGCCCCTTCTGGCACACCCCTCGCACGTTTCGTGGCCGTGTTAGGAGCTCCACCGAAGGCCCTGGTGGGTGCGTCCGCAGTGTCCGTGCTCTTCCTGCCCTTCCCCAAGGAAGCTCCACCTAGGGCCCCAATGGGTGCGTTTGCATGACGCCGCCCCACTCCTGCTTACTTTTCACACGTTTCCCAGCCCCCACACCCCAGGGAGCTCCACCCAGGACTCCATTGGGTGCGTTCGCATGGCGCCGCTGCGCCCATTTCGACACGCTCTTCACGAGGATCGTGCCCCGCAGCGAGCTCCACCTGAGGTCCTCCCTCACGCGTCCCCTGCACCCCTGGCTGTACCTAGGGCCTAAGTGGGCGCGTCGGCATGGCGCCGCCGCGCACATTCGGCACACCCCTCGCGCGTTTCGTGCCCCCCAGGGAGCTTCACCCCTGGCCCTCGTGGAGTTGATCGCAAGGCGCCGCCGCGCCTATTTCGACACATCCCACATGTGTTGCGCCTCGCGATGGGGCTCCACCTACTCCCCAGCGGAGGTGTTCGCATGGCGCCGCCGCGCTCATCTCGGCACACCCTTCATGCGGATTGTGTCCCACAGGGATGCACAGCTATGGTATAAAGCTGCAAGAGCGCAGCACACTCGCAAGGCATTCGGGCAGTCGCGGCACTCAGCGCATCGCGCTGTCATCTCGTATATCACACGGCGCTCTTCTGCAATGCTAGTGTAGCGCGCGGCGCTGTGTCTCGCACTAATATTTCCTTCCAGGATCCCGCGTCCTCCTATCGCTGCCCCCGTCCTCCTGCTCCGTGGCGCGCTCATCATGGACTTCTAGTTGCGATTCGGATCGTGAGAGCGCGTGCGCGAAAGGGGAACTCCGAGTGTGCTCTGACGTGTCTTTGTGAAGCGTTCCAGGGCGCTGCAGACCCTGAATGTGTTCTCGTGCATTGAGCGGTCGTGTTTGTAGTCTCCTCGTGTTGAGAGCAGGGTTAGGCTCTTCGCAAGGCTAATGTTGTGATCGGTGTGTTGAGCCTCACTTGGAGCCTCTCGGGGCCTCCTACCTTTGGGGCCCTTAGGTCGTCGTCGAGGCCTATTGGGCATCTCGGAGCGCTTACTGTGCAATCTGGGAAGCCATGCTGATAATCTTGGAGGCGCTGGAGACCGCCTGGGACTGGGAGGCGTCGGGACGCCCAAGACGCCTCTGGAGGGGGATCACGCATGCCTCTGGGTGCGCCCAGAGGGGGGCAGTCTTCGCAAACCAGGGAAACCCAGCCGGCAGCGTTCGCATAATTTCTGCACATGCCAGGCGGCACGGTTGCGGAGAACCATCTAAACAAATTAGCGCCAGCATATGCGCAAGCGAAAGCAAAGCCGAATGAACAATCGAAATAATATCATGAGTGTGTGCGTCAGCCGGAGCGTGCTAGTTAAAGGAGCTCGAGCATTGGCATTAGAATTCAGAGGCTGCTGTTCCTACATTTCCTCAGCTTCAAGAGGCCTCATGGCGTCTCTTGGGGGCTTCTTAGGGCCTTGTGGGGGAGTTCCGTGAAGCCTCCTAGGGGCCTTTGGGGCACCTCTGGAGGCCTTTTGGGAGCGTTTTGGGGGCCTGCTGGCAGTCTTGGGGCCCTTCGGGCTCACCCCTCTTGGCCCCATCTTTGGGCCCTCCTCGTGTGCCGTTCGGGGGCCTCCTGTTCCTCCTCCTCCTCCTCCTCCTCCTCTTCCTCCTCCTCCTCCTCCTCCTCCTCCTCCTCCTCCTCCTCCTCCTCCTCCTCCTCCTCCATTCTTTTTCTGTATAAATGATTTCTCCCTGTCGCACCCCGAGGCCAGTGTTTAGGTCGGGCCGGGCGTTTCGCTGAAGACTTCCTCACCATGTATGACTCTGGAGCTTCAACATTGACAACAGCAAATGTGGCTCTTACCTTAGCGCCGCGCACATTTGCGTTAAACATGTACAAGAGCTTCACGGATTAAGGGCGAGTGGTTTTCAGTATGTGGTTCTCGCCTTAGCGCCGCGCGCATTCGTTTTGAACATTTGCTAGAGTTTCACGGATTGAGGTGAACCCCTTTTTCAACATGTGGTTTTCGCTTCAGCGCCGCGCACATTCGTTTAACAACATTGCAAGAGTCTCACGGATTGAAGGCAGTTCTTTTTTCAACATGTGGTTCCCGCTTTAGCGCCGCGCCTATTCTTTAGTACAGCTTGCGAGAGTTTCGCGGATTTTCATGATCAAAGTACCAGAAATGGTGTTTTTGGAAGGGTTCAGGATTATGAGGGCGCAACAGTTACGTTCATTCGCGGTGTTGAAGTCCCAAGGACGGCGTTCTGGCGCGATTCAGGACCGTCAAAACGCAACAGTCAGGCTGATCCGTGACGTTGGAATCCTGAGAACAGTGTTTTGGCATGCTTCAGGGTCTTCAAACAATTGTTTCCCAACGAGGCAGTTCCTTCAATGGAAACGAACCGTTGTAGGGGCCTATGAAGAGGGAGCTTAGAGGAGGGTTTATTCCAACATCGTTGATGACTCTTGGATTTACACTGGTCCTCCTCCTCCCCCATCCAGGGTAGAGGTCTGGACCCAGAGATATCGAAAGCAGGGGCTGGGGTTTTGTACGCAAGCACCCGGCATTCAGGATCGAAGATGCTTGGGGGCCTGAGGGCAATCCATGCGGCGCGATCATGGATCAAGCAAGCAGGTCGAGATGTACCAGTGCACTTGGGAAACCGTGCCATCGAGGGTCCTGGATGTTTTACAAAGAGTTCCAGATGCCGAACTGGTGTGGAGCACCTCGCGATATCTTGGCAGAGAGCTGCTGCGAGAATCCACGTAATTAACACTGTCAACCATCGACGTCGTGAAGGCGATGTAAACCTGTGTCTTAGGTGTTCGACCCATCATAAACTACGTATGAGATGTAGTCTCAAGACGGAACTGGCCGTCCACTAGGACATGGCGGAGAGTTGATTCCACAGATTTCGGTTGGAGATTTCCTCCCCGCCCCGATCACGCATTGCAGCCCAATCGGCTCTAGATGCCCTGAGGGCGTTTAACGTATGGAACGCCCGCGAAGGATGGCGACCTGGAGACGGCGGAGGTCAAGAAGCAGCGGGACGAGGCCAACCAGGCTTTCGAGGACCTGTCCAGTCCAGATGCCTTCTTTCTTCGTTTCCTTCTTCTCGCACGTAGTGGCGCGCTGCTGGAGGAAGAGGAGGAGGAGGAGGAGGAGGAGCAGGAGGAGGAGGAGGAAGGACATAGGAGAGTAACGAACGACAAAATGTCGATGAGCATCAGGTTGTCTGGATGGAGACTTCCCGCGTGCGATCAGAGTAGCTCTTTGCGTATCTTCTTGATGTGCGCCAAGAGGGGTGACTATGCGGCGAGCGCCTTCGTGAGCAGCACCCTGCCAATGATACCCCTGTAAGCGCAATCTCAATACGCGCTGTAACACCATGGTTCCGCCCAGTCGCCGGCATTATGGTCGATACGGTGCGTCAGGGAGGTCCAGCAATAGTCAGTCATCTCTCACGCCAGAGGGCGGAGCGTAGAGGAGAACCCGCTCGAACGATGCGGGCAGCGGAAGCAGGCAGCACGAATGCCGCGTCTGCAGCGGCAGCGACATTGTTGATTGTGTCTTGTTGGGTTCGCTTCGACAAGCGCAAGCCGCGCCACAGAGCCTGACTCGGACGCCACCGTCCAGCGTGGGAGCAGGCTCTTTGGGCACTTCTGTTCCGCTCGCCAAGCCCAGTTCCAGCTGATTCGTGCAGCCCGCATGACAGAGCATACGCGAGACATTCAGCTCGTCTGACCGTGCGAGAGCTCCAGGTATCCGCAGGATTGTTTTCTTCAATGCCATGGTGTTTCCTGTGTTGCGGCCTCCGGGGGACGTGTTCGGGATTGGGGACCAATAAAGGCTCCAGGGCTACAGTCGGGGCCCTGAAGAAGGAACCCTTTTCGTTGGGGAGGGGCTCGGTGTTCCTTGATTGTTCTGCAGTTTGCCTTCTGTTTTCCTGCGGTTTTCCATGGGAAATCGAAGCTCAACTTGTGGATAGAAGGGGCCTCGTTCCTTATTTAGGATTCCTTAGGTCAACGCCCCGACTGTACAAAATATGACGGGGGAAGAGGTCGGGACCTCTCTGGGGTCGCGGATTCAAGCGCACAAAACAAAAGTTGTATGGGGCACCTGTGTTCGGACAGCCCTCGGGATCTCATTGGCTTCAGTACGTCGGTTGTGAGACGGTTTGTTTTGATCGTGTGGCGGAACGCGTTGTGGCGTGATCAAATGTCGTTGCGGCATGACTTATAAGTGGCGCTTGTCGTATACAGTCCTTCCTGCCATCCGTCATACTCGTTGCGCTCCCCTGTTATCCTCGGCGTCCTCACACTTCCCGCTCCGACTGGGACTAGCACTCCTGATCTCCTCGTAGCTTTGCTCCTCGTCATGCCCCCCCCCCCGCGCTCCTCGTCAACATCACCACCAGAACCACACAACCGGTTCCAGGAGGAGCCTCGCCTTCGAGGTATCGAGAGGCTGCCAGCCCTCTCCTCGGCGGAGGACGCCAGGAGTGAAACGGCGGTTGAGGGCCAGCCAGAACTTGTGGAAGTAAATATCAGCGTTCTAATAGATACGTAGTCTGGGGGGGGGGGGGAGGCTTCTGCCAGGCGGAGACAGGACCGCGATACATCGTTCCAGAACCTTCCAGGGCGTTATCAGAGCGTTCCAGGGCGCTCTGGAACGACCGCGGCGTCCGACGCATCCTGCAGAACCGCTGGATCTCAGAGATCACCAGTTTATCTTTGTCCTCGTCATGGTCGTGGTCCTTTGCCTCCTCTCCAGCTGCGTACCTTCGCCGCGCCAGAGCCCCCAAAGAGCTCCGAAGATCCAACAACGCACAGCTCCGAAGATCCCAACCCTCCCAATCCCTCCTCAGGAGTTGCAGCATCATCGTCATCATCAGCATCACAAACAACATTTTCGGAATCATCACCATCATCGGCATCATCATCAGCATCATTATCATCACCATCATCATCATCAGCATCAGCATCAGCATCAGCATCCTCCTCATTATCATAATCGTCATCAGCATCAGCATCATCATCATCATCACCATCATCATCATTGTCAACATAATCATCCACCATCGTCAGCACCATCATCAGCAACATCAACATCAACATCATCAGCATCAACAACAGCATCATCATCACCATCCCCATCACCCACCATCATCACCACCATATTCATCATCATCATCAGCAGCAGCAGCATCCTTGCCAAAACTCTGCCTTCTACTCCTCATCCTTGCGCAACTTCCTCTTCTTCCTTCTCCTCCTCCTCATCCTCCTCCTCCTCCTTCCGCCGCCTGGAACCTCCCGATGTGAGCTGAGACTTCGCTGTCACGCTATGGATCTCAGCGGGTTCCGGCGAATTCATCCTCCCTCTTCTTCCTCGTCATCCTCCTCTTCCTCTTTTTCCTCCTCCTCCTCCTCCTCTTCTCTTCCTCTTCTTCCTCCTCCTCATCGTCCCCAGTGGTCCCCTCCTGGGGGTGAACGTCTGCCAGCGGCTCGCGAGGACCAGCTGGCCAGGGACCTCCAGAACCTCCGCCAGTCGCACCGACAGCGGTCCCAGCGACTGGTGCGGAATGTGGTCAGGGCCGCCACCGAAGGGAGGCGCAGAAGGAGGAGGACGGCGAAGGCAAACTTGACTGGACATGACAAGAACAACATTCTGAAGGCTTGCCTGTCATCTGGAACATCGCCCAACGAAGCAACAACAAATATCATAACAGACTAACGAATCATAAAACAGCATAGCCACTTTACCAACCACATGCACAACCTTTGAACATGTTCAAAATGTCCCAGGGATGGGGTCAAGGTCTCTGGGACCCGCGACGCGATAGTCTTCATGACGTCTGAGGCCTGGGGAGGAGGAGGAGGACGAGGAGGAGGAGGTGGAGGAAGACACCATATAGGTCGGCGCCGATCGGGGCATCAAGGGGAAGAGACTGAAAAGGAAGAGGCCGAGATGCAGCAGGAGCCAGAGGAGCAGCAGCAGGAGGGGGAGGAGGGGGAGGGGAACGAGGGCAGCGCCAAGGAAAATGAGAAGAAGGAGGAGGAGGAGGAGCAGCAGCAGCAGCAGCTGAAGGAGGAGAAGAAGGACGAGTACAGGGGAGAAGGAGGGAAGGACAGAGCGATCAGCAGGAGCAGGGGAGACTGCCCCCTGTGGTGGGCCCCCCGATGCCGTCCCCCGAGGTGGCCGCGCGCTACCGCGCGGAGGTGGAGCGGGAGGACCAGCTCTCTCTCTCTCTCTCTCTCTTTCTCTATCCCTTTCTTTATTCCGGAGGCCACGGCCAAGGCGGTGTTGTTGGGCCTGAGGCTTCGGCCTTGGCAGTGCAATTTGCGGGTTGATGCCCCTCTCCCTCGCCATCTCTCTTTCTCTCTCCCTCTCTCTTTTGTTTTTTCTCCTTCCCTTTGCAGTCCTGTCCCCTCCCTTCCCCTCCTGCGCCTTCCATCCCATCCCTCCCATCCGACCCCCCATTCTACCCCAACCCAACCCCCGAAATCTCTCTCTCTCTCTCTCTTGTTTTTTTTTGTTCTCTCTCTCTCTCTCTCTCTCTAAATCTCTAAATCTCTCTCTCTCTATCTCTCACTCTCTCTTTCTTTTTCCCAACCCTCCTGTGGTGTTGGGAACTCGTTTTGAACAGAGCAGTGTGGTCTCCACCTCCTCCTCTCCTCCTCCTCTCTTCCTCTCCTCCTGTGTTGGGTTCTCGTTTTGAATACAGCGGTGTGGTCGCCCCGTCCTTCCTCCTTCCTTCTCCCTTCGCCTCCCCTCCTCCATCTCTCCTGTTTCATGTGTTCCCCTCTCCTCTTCTCTCGTGCCGTCTGCGATCTGCGCAATTGTCGCCACTTTCGTGGGCTCCTGGGAGGCCCAGCGGAGGTACGTCCCACGCGGACCACCTCGGGACCTCGCCGCCCCATGGGGGGCTTGCGATCTGCGCAATTGTCGCCACTTTCGTGGGCTCCTGGGAGGCCCAGCGGAGGTACGTCACACGCGGACCACCTCGGGACCTCGCCGCCTCCTAGCAGGCTTGCGATCTGCGCAAGAGTCGCCACTTTCGTGGGCTCCTGGGAGGCCCAGCCGAGGTACGTCCCACGCGGACCACCTCGGGACTTCGCCGCCCCCTGGCGGGCTAGCGATCTGCTCAACTGTCGTCACTTTCGTGGGCTCCTGGGAGGCCCAGCGGAGGTACGTCCCACGCGGACCACCTCGGGACCTCGCCGCCCCATGGGGGGCTTGCGATCTGCGCAATTGTCGCCACTTTCGTGGGCTCCTCCTGGGAGGCCCAGCGGAGATACGTCACACGCGGACCACCTCGGGACCTCGCCGCCCCCTGGGCATTAAAAAAAACAGGCTTTAACGTGGATCCGGAATCCGGAGTTCGGAATCCGGAATCGGGAATCCGGAATCCGGAATCCGGGAAACCAGATTCTGGAATCCGGAAGTTGGGAATCCGGCATCCGGGAATCTGGCATCCGGGAATCTGGAATTCGGAATCCGGAATCCGGGAAACCGGATTTTGGAATCCAGAATCCGGGAATCTGGCATCCGGCATCCGGGAATCCGGCATCCGGGAATTTGGAATCTGGAATCCGCGGGAAACCGGATTCTGGAATCTGGAATCCGGGAATCCGGAATCCGATCCGGAATCTCGAATCCGGAATCCGGGGATCGGGAATCTTAGATTTTGGGAATCCAGAATCTGGGAATCCGGAATCCGGAATTCGGAATCCGGAATCCGGAGTCCGGAATCCGGAATCCGGGAATCGGGAATCTTTGTATCTGGGGATTCGGAATCCGGGAATCCGGAATCCGGAATCCGGAATCGTGCTAGGCAGCGCGTTGCATTTAGCGTATTAAAGAATAGGTTGTATCCATGTCACATATACTTAACGTTGGGGCCGCGTTAACTAAAATTCAACCGTTGCGTAACTGTTCACAACTGAATGGTCTTGGCATCATGGTGCCGAGCTAACCGAAACTAACAGATCGTAAGTGGACTCCAACTGGTCATATGTGGTCAAGCTTTTCCACGTCGTGTGAAACCGCTTGGTTGCTATGCCGTTATGCTTCCGTTGGCTCATGGGCTTTTGGCGACGTTGCAATTGCCGTCTGTGGTTCTGCTCTGGGAATATGCTGTTCGTGTGCCACTTCCGCTTTTCAACCCCACTCCGGCTTCTCTCCCCCGCCCGATTACCTCCCGATTTCTTTTCAACCCCACTCCTCCTCCTCCTCCTCCTCCTCCTCCTCCTCCTCCCCCTTCTCCTCCTCCTCCTCCTCCCCCTCCTCCTCCTCCTCCTCCTCCTCCTCCTCCCCCTCTCCCTCCTGTTTACATTCGGTAGTGCGCGACAGTGCACAAGAACAGCGGATAACGAACACTTGCATGCCCCAACTTGCTGCCTTATGCGCACCGTTTTCTGCTGTGCAATCTCACCCCCCAAGCTTGCCTCAGAAACGATGCCCGTCCCGACCCATCCGCTAGGTCGATATAGAACATATAGTCGGATGCGCTTTTCTCCAAGATCAGTTATCCCATAGACTGGGGTACTTCACGATGGGCATTCTGATTTTCATGAGGGGTTTCCCGGGAATGTCAGAAATCATGATATCGGAGGGGGGCTCGGGCACGTGATCCGTCTTGGCCCCTATACCCCCGTACCCGACCGCACAGCCTTGGAGTTTGAGCCTTTTCGGGCGTCCCGCCCCCCCCGCCCCCCTCTCATTTTATTGCCGCTGGCAAACTCGATCGTGCAAAGACGCGGGTGGCCACGCCGCCGCCGTGCCTGCATCCGACCGAACAGCTTTGGAGTTTGAGCCTTTTCGGGCGTCCGCCACCCCTGTCCCCATCTCATGTTACTGCCGCTGGCAAACTCGATCGTGCACACGCGCGGGTGGCCGCGCCGCCGCCGTTCCTGCATTCCTACATGTATACCCCGCGTGGGCAAGCGCATGCGTCCATGCGTGCACACTAGCGCGCCAGTGGCGGTCAGCGCAAACGAGGAACATTGTCTTTTTGTGTGGTCAAATGTACGCTGGCAGTTCCAAGTACTCACTCGCAGTGCCATGGCACAACAGACGACCGATCTATACATACATATACATATAACGGCGCACCGGGTCCCGGGGCCCGGGGCCGGGACCTCGACCACAAATGACAAATGTGGGCCCCGGGGGGCCCGGAGGCTCGTCGGACCGCCGGACGCCGTCCAAGATCGTTCGCAGGCGGCTTCGGAACGCGCTCCGATGGCTCCAGATGCCTTCCAAGACGCCTGTCATGACACCAAGAAGGTCCCAGAAGCCTCCAAGACGCTCCGAGAGGCAGCCCAAGAGAGGCCCAAGAAGCAAAAATCGTGCCATTCCTATGGGAAAACGTATATTTTTCGCATGTTCGCCTCTTGGGCTTTCACCGCGTCCAAGACGGCCCAAGAGGCGCCCAAGACGGTCTACGAGGCCTCCGGGAGCGCTCCAAGGCTGCGCACGAGTGGCCCAGGACGGCCCCAAGACGGCCGAAGAGAGCCCCAAGACGAGTTCGAGAGGGGTCCCAGACGGAGAAAGCCAACCTCGAATTCCGAGCTTCCGGCCCAAGAGGCTCCAGGAGGCGCCAAAATGCCGCCAAGAGGCGCCAAAAGGCTCCCAAAAGCACCCCAAGACGTTCCGAGAGGCACCCCAAGAGAGGTCCAAGAAACAAAAATCGTGCCATTCCTATGGGAAAACGTATATTTTTCGCATGTTCGCATCTTGGGCTTTCACCGCGTCCAAGACGGCCCAAGAGGCCTCCAAGACGGCCTAGGAGGCCTCCGGGAGCGCTCCAAGGCTGCGCACGAGTGGCTCAGGACGGCCCCAAGACGGCCCAAGAGAACCCCAAGACGACTTCGAGAGGGGTCCCAGAAGGAGAAAGCCACTCTCGAATTCCGAGCTTCCGGCCCAACATATCCCAGGAGGCGCCAAAACGCCGCCCAGAGGCGCCAAAAGGCTTCCAAAATCAGCCCAAGACGTTCCGAGAGGCACCCCAAGAGAGGTCCAAGAAACAAAAATCGTGCCATTCCTATGGGAAAACGTATATTTTTCGCATGTTCGCATCTTGGGCTTTCACCGCGTCCAAGACGGCCCAAGAGGCCTCCAAGACCGCCCCAAGACGGCCCAAGAAGCTTCCAAGAGGGCCCCAGGACAGCCCAAGAGGGCCCCAAGACGGCCCAAGAGGCGCCCAAGATGGCCCAAGAGGGCCCCAAGACGGGCCCAAGAGGGGGCCCAGAGGGGGACCACGAACCGCAAGCTCGAGCCTTCCGCCCCAAGAGGCCGCCAGGAGGCCCCAAGGAGGCCCCTCAAGAGGCCCCAGGAGACCCCCAAGAGGCCCAAAGGAGGCCCCGAGAAGCCCCAAATCGGCCCCCAAAATGCTTCGAACCTGCTTCCAGGAGGCCCCCGACAGGTTCAGAGGCTCCCGAGAAGCTACGTCAAACTCCCAGCGAGCGGCCGGACGAGGCCCCCCACAAAATCACAAGAGGGTTCCAGTATTTGTATCCTTCAGCGCTCTCTGGCCTTCTTCCCCCTGCCCCCTTCCCTGCGACTTTCGTTGACTCAAGCTCGCCTCCTAGCTAGAACCTAAGCGCGCGCGAAGCGCGCGCGTGGTTCTAGTATATATTATATATATATATATATATATATATATATATATATATATATATATATATATACATAGTGGCACGTGTGTGCCCAGGCTCATACAAAAAACTGAAGGGGCGTTTGAAGCAGGAGTGAAATGCAACATCGAAGTCGCACTCGAGCGCAAGTGGGGTTGCCACACCTTGCGATGTGTGTACCAGGACCCCCCAGGAAGCCTCAGGAGGCCCGACTTGGATACCAGAAGAGGCTCCAGGAGGCCCCAGGATTGTGAGTGTTGTGCGCGTGTGTGTGTGTGTATGTGTGTGATGTATGCTTTGTGTGGTGCGTGCTTTTTGTGTGTTGTAGGTGTGTGTGTGTGTGTTATGTTTGTCTAGCGTGTGATGTGTTGGGCGTGATTTGTGTCTCTGTGTGCATGTAGTTCTGAAGCCCCAGGAGGCCCCAGGAAGCCCCAGGGGCCTCAGGAGGCCCCAGGAGACCCCAGGAGGCTTCAGGAGGCCCCAAGAGGCTCCAGGAGGCCGCAGGAGGCCCCAGGAGGTTTCAGGAGACCCCCAGGAGGCTCCGAGGCGGGGTCTGGGGTGCCAGAAGGTTCAGAAAGCCCCAGGAGGCCCCA